GTTCTTGCAAAGGCAGATCTTTTAAGAGTGTTCTTTCAGTGATTTTACTATCTGTTCTAATATAGCACTTCCTACAGAAAGAATTCTGATAGCTGAATGTGCTACGGTGGATACTTTAGTACTGGAAAGTTGGCATTCTAGTGACAACTGGTTTGTTAAATGGGGTCATAAATGTCTTTTGACAGCCCGTTGTAAATCACTGATCTTGATGCAGTGTCTGCTGAGATAGTATTAATATGCAGTGAGAGCACTTATGCATGAAATCATCTTTCTTTCTAAGAATTTCTCTCAGAGTAATCTATGAGAAACATCACTGTGATATAAAAGAAGGTAAACAAAAAAAAAAAAATAACTCTCAGCACGACATAAACTGTCATGACTTCTAAATTCGTGATAGTGTGCAAAAGCCTTAACAATAAATATGTTTTGCAATGAATAATGAAAATAGTCACTTGTCTTCTCTTAAAACATACACAGATGCATGTGCTGGATGCTGCCTTCCAGCACACCACTATATTCTACACATACTCAAAAAAAAAAAAAGAAAAAGAGCTACAATAGTCAACATTACCATATAGTACTTATCGAGACGTAGATTGTCTATTCCATTCCACTCACGGCTCATAGTTTGCCAAAACGTTCGAATGAACAAGTGCTCTGCGAAAGAATAAAAGAGAAGACTTGTAACTGCTTGTCTGGCATGCAGGTTTCTTCTGTTAACCCCAAAAACCTCAAGAAATCACTTCAAGATGAGGGAGAACTGCATTTCCCTAGGGATTTGCCCAGTGACTGACGTAGATCCGTGAGTAGATATGCTTGAGTCAGGTACACATCCGCTAAACAAAGCAAGAAATGGCACACAGCTACTTTTAAAGACAAGCACAATTACAGTGACAATTGAAATAACAACGTTACTGAGGCTGAGCTTTGTACCCATACATTTTCAGGCATATATGCACAAGTTTGAGCATTCATTTCTACTCATGCTAGTCAAGGCACTGATCAAGCACTGCATGTCAAGTGGATTTTGTATATTTTGTGCTTAACAGCTCATGAAACAAGATTGGATTTGAGCAGGAAATACACAGAACAGCAAGGTAAGGGGTTAAGTTTTCTCTGCCATCCACCTGGCAAAAATCTCACCTTCCTCACACTGGAGAGACAACCCTTCCCCTGCAACAACCAGAAATAAACTGCATCTGATCCAGGGTCTTGATACTTTCCTAAATGCAATCACATGTACCAGCTGGACAGCCAGCAAAGGAAAAAACAGTTATGATCCAGATCTGTCTCTACCCTAGAACTGTGAAAGTAGGCTCAAAGTCACTAAACATTAAAGCACCTTGAGAAGAGTCAGATAATTAAATAGTACTTACGAGCCTCTGTATTCTGAATCACATGGATAAGCTGTGAAATGTTATTTGCAAGTTCCTCCTAAAGGCAAACAAATACAGTTAGTGTAGTGTATTTCAGAGCTTGGTCTCCTTACTACACATTCAACAAGAGAACAGCCAGAAATACGAAGAAACATCCCTCATAAAACATTCTCTTAACAACTGCTTTTGTACCATAGTTTGTACTGGGATTAGGTTAGTTACAAGATAAAATTCAAGGCTATGAAGCCCTGTTTGACCAGCTCCCTGCACATATCATCCTATTGACAGCAAGATTGAAGTAGGAAAAGAATAATCCAACATATCTGAATTAACACGCGATGTAAAACTTCTGGGGTACTCTTCTCATGTAGCTTAAATGTAGGTACACCTCTGTATTATTTGTGAGATAAACAGAGAATAAGCATTACTTATGAGGTGAACACAGAAGCAATTTGAAGCCTGATTGAGGTTACTAAGATTTCTACTCCAAAACTGGCATCTTTTGAAAATAGGTAGACAAATCAAAGGAGGGGGCAAAAAGTTGGTAACAGAAAAAATATCATCAAACTCCTCATACTAAGGAATGTTTGGATTTTGTGTTGAGGGACACGGTTTAGTGAGAAATATTGATGATAGGTGGATGGTTGGACTGGGTCATCTTGTAGGTCTTTTCCAACCTTGCTGATTCTGTGATTTCTGTGATTCTAACAAAAAATAGGAAGCATGAAACTTTCAAACTCAGCAAACCAAAGGTTGTAGGTATGCTGAAGTTGCAGGTAAGGGCAATCTGCTGTTACTGCTCTAGTTCCATCAAATCAATGCACTTCATAGCAATATATATTTCATCTGGAAGGTAAATAGTTACATCTGCTTTTCAAAGGGTGATTGCAAACACCGAATGGTCCACAAGGTGAGGATCACTGACTTAGTCAACTCTACTGAATGCGCCACAGTCAGGGCAAGACACAACAGTGAGCAAGACTCACTCAAGTCATTTTCACTATTCTGAAGTAGTATGTCCTCATAGTACATTTTAGAAGACACCCACTCAGACAAACATCAAAGCAGTACTATACCTGTAGCAGTGGTTTATCCTGCATCCACATACAATAGAACAGTCCCTTCCATATCTTCAGCAGTTCTTCCTGGCTAAAGCCACCTAGGGTACAGAATAAGCGTGACTGAAAATGAAACATCCCACACTTCCACCAAAATGCTTTCAAGCAGTTCTCTTTCTTTCTCCTTCCCTCTATTTCCCATTTTTTCTTTCTTTTTGTTATATTCTTATGAGTGAATACTGATTCCTACAATAAGCAGACTAACACCACTTGATTTCATGCCTTTAAGATTTTATCGTGTGCCAAAGTAACAAAGACTTCAAAGAAATCACAGAGATGAGAGATGAACACTAAGGTAAATCTGATAAATCCATCTGCAGTTAAGCTTTGTTCCCTCTGGCACATTGCTAAGAGATGACAAGTGCAAAACCTAGAATACAGCTTTTTAGTGCTTAGTGCTTTTTTTTTTTTTTTTTAAACCAGTATCTTTATGCAAGATACTAAAGATAAAAGAAAAGTCGACCCTCCAATTATCAGCCCAGAATAGCACGCTCTTCTCTTACACGGTGCAGTGGAACTGCCAGGTCAAAGCCTGAACCAGTGGTTGAGCACCAGGTGAGGAGTGACTAACCTAGGGAGTGCAGGTACAAGCAATGCACCTGAGAGAGAGAAGGGCTTGAGCCTGGATCCATCCACTCTCATTAAACTGTGAGCAGCATCCCTCTGGATAGAGATTACCTATCTTTCAAGCTGTTGCTGGTTGTCAGAAGAGTTGAGTCAATTTTCCTTCTTTATTACCTGCTATTGCTTTGTAGTGCCTGTATCCTATTCATTGCCTTTTTTTTTTTTTTGCCATACACAAGGAATGGATTTTAAGAATGGATTGATCAGAAAAACAAAAAGGACCACTTCTGAAAAATAATGTGCTTATCCAAGTTCATCCACACACATGTAATGACTTCAGAGATTCAGTGGTTCTATGCTTCCTCTGGAATTTAACTCCACTGAAGTGAGGCTCTAGCTCTTCAGAAAGGTTCCCTGGCATGGCTAATAACTCAACCCTAGCATAGATCATACTGAACAGTCCATGGCCTGTGTTCTGCCTACCTATGGACCATGAGACGAAGTCAGCAGGAACTCTGGTACCTCATTCAAAAGTTGGCAAGTTCTTTATTGTTCAAGTGAAGGACTCTAACTGGCTTACCTGATGTGTGACTCTCGTCTCCGACAAAGCACTGTACAGACATATGTCTGCTTACTCATAAATAAGTTGAAAATTTAAAAAAAAAAAAACAACTCTTCCTGAACATAACACTCTTTCTTTCAAGACCAAATCAGCTAACTTTCATTTTAATATTACTAGCTTGAACTTTACTTGAGAGCAAATAAATCTAAGAACACTGGAAATCAGTCACTTTGCTTTTCTCCTTGTTTGAATTTCACGGTGGGTTGATCTTCACGTGCAAAAGGTTTACTGACTGCTTCACTATGGTGGTTTCCTAGTATTTTAAGGCATTAATTAACATGCAACCTTATCTGCTAGTGAGGGAGCTCCTATCCACCTGAGAGTTTCCACAAACTGGGAGGAATCTACACTTTGCAGTGAGACTGAACATAGTGATATAAGAAATATGAATATAAAGATGCTACATATAGCACAGGAAATGCCCCAAACTAAAACAATCCGCACTTCAGAGGAGCAGTGCGTACATTTGCTTGCTCTTACTAACCCCTAGGCATCTCCTTTGATTTATTTATAGCAACTGTCAGGAAGAAAGCCAACGGGTACCCTGGGGTGCATTAAAAAGTAGGGCCAGCAGGTCGAGGGAGGTGATTTTCCACCCTCCCACCCCCCTGCTCTGCTTTGATGACGGTTAAGGGCCTGGAGCACCCCCCTTATGAGGAAAGACTGAAACAGCTGGGACCACCTCCTCAGCAGGCAGCAGAGCATAAAACCACAGCCTTCAACTCTCACATATTGCGAAATAGATGCGTGAAGGTTAAAACAAGAAAAAAGAAAGAAGGAAGCAAAGAAGCGAGTCTCGATCCCCACAGAGGAGTCGCAGCGCAGGCCCTCCCCACACGTGCCCCGCCGCCCCGTACCGTCCGGGCGCTGCGTGCGCACGCTGATGTAGCCCCGCAGCTTCTTCACGGCGCGGTCCCGGATTCGCTTCTCGTTGGCGGCCAGCCGCTGCGCGAACTGGATCTCAGGAGCCTGAGCGGCGGCGGGAGCCATGGCCCGGCAGCACCGCACCGCGCCGTGCCACCGACACTCGGGCGCACACTGGTGACGTCACCAACGGCGCCGTCGCCTTTTCTCTGACGTCATTCGTCTTGAGGTGGGGGCTGGTCACGGTGTGGGAGAGCGGTTGCGCCCCGCTTTTACACAAATTCTCAATAATAATAATAGTAATAAATAGACAACTGTTGTGCCTAAAAGTGTTTTTATTCGCTGTAAATCACAAAACGCCCAGCCCAGCCCCTCCCTCAGGGCAGCGGCGCAGCGTGACGCGCCGGCGCAGCGCCCTCTTCCCGCCCCCTGCCTTCCCCTCTTTTTCCCGCCCTGCCGCCGGGCGGTGCTTGGTGCCATGCGGCGCTGCGCGGGGCAGGCGGGCGAAGCGCAGGTAGCGCCCGGTTGGAGGGCGGGCTCTGCCTGAGGGCTGCGGGGAAGGGCCGTGCTTCCCTCTGCGCGGAGCGACTTGTTGCAGCTGGACGTTGTAGTGCGGGGGAGTGTTGGGTGAAAAAAAATAAATCCTGGTTTTTCTGTGTGAGGGTCTGTGGTTTACAGGGAGGAACACTCCGCGTTTTGAGCCTCGGTAGTGGGTTTTGCCTGGGTTTGGTCGCTGAGAGCAGATAATGTGGTTTTTATGTTATGCTTTGTAGTTTTGAACTTACTGAACTCTATTTCTGGCTTTCCTGTTTGTCTGACTGTAAGTGTTCACCTGGTGTCCTCTATGGAGTCCTATTACATATGCATATGTGTTCTTGAGACTAAAATGAGTTGTTTTTCTGTGAGTTGCATAGCGTTGTGTGTCTTGATTGTGCTGACTTTCCCATAAAGGCTCCCTAATTGCAACTGCAAGTTAAAAACCATTTTCCGTGTCTGTATTGATGGTGAGTGGAGTTAAATCCAGTCATTGACTGGTTGCTAGCAGAATTCCTCAGAGGTCGGTACTGGGGCCAGCCCTGTTTTATGTCTACATTGATGATTTGGATAAGGGAATTGAGTGCACCCTCTGTAAGTTTGCAGATGACATCAAGCTGGGAGGGAGTGTCAATCTGCCTAGGGGTAGGAAGTCCCTACAGAGGGATGTGAAAAGGTTGGATAGCTGGGCTGAGGCAGTGGGATGACCAGGTGCTGGGCTCTGCACTTCTGTAATAACAAGCCTGGGCTATACAGCAGCTTGGAGCAGAATGGCTGGAAGGTTGTTCTCAGGAAAAGGATCTGGGGATGTTCGTTGGCAGCCTGCTAAACATGAGCTAGCAATGTGCCCAGGTGGCCAAGAAGGCCAATAGCATCCTAAATTGTATCAGAAATAGTGCAGCCAGCAGGAGCAGGGAGGCCATCAGGACAGTGATAAGATGAGAGGAAATGGCTTCAAGTTGTGCCAAGGCAGGTTCAAGCTCTACATTAGGAAGAATTTCTTCTCAGAAGCAATAGTGATGCAGTGGCACAGGCTGCCCAGGTAGGTGGCAGAGTCACCGTCCCTGGAGGTGTTCAAGGAAAGGGTAATTGTAGCACTGAGGATCATGGTCAGTGGCCATGGTGGTGATGGGTTGATGTTGGAGTAGGTGATCTTAAGTAGTTTTTTCTAACCTTAATGAATCTGATTCCATAATGACCTGAGTTTGGAAGACTGGACTGGAGATGGCTGTACCTTGAGGCGATGGTTTCTTGTATTCTCTAGCACACTCATCTGTCTGAAAGAAGGCGAAACAGTATGTCAAGAATCTCAGTTTCTGAGACCTGCACCATTCCCTAAAATTTAAACTGCTTAGAAATGTCATTTTTGCATTGTGAAAGTTTACTAGGTCATTAATGTTTTAGACAAAGGAAGCTGAACTTTTTTCTATGTCAGTGTGTAGCATCTTTAAGATGCAGCAGTGTGCATACCAAAATACACCAGAAACTGGAGTTGGGTAGTTTATTATACAGAAAAAGTTGGTATCGTTTTAAAAATCAATACACGTTCTCTTGAACTGTGCAATTGAAGTTATTTCATTGCAGTATCTTGGCACAAGAGGAAATAAGTAAATACATTTCATAGAACCATTTTAGTTAGAAGAGACCCTTAAAGGTCATCTAGTAAAACTTCCCTGCAATGAACAGGGACACCTATAGCTACATTGGGTTGCTCAGAGTCTGGTCCAGCCTAACCTTGAGCATCTCTAGGGATGGGGCATCCACCTCCGCTCTTCTTGTTTTGATTTGGGATTGAGTTACTTTTATGTGGGATTGGATTACAAATAGCTTTTGCTTCTCACAAAAGGTCAAGTACTCTGAAAAAAAACACATTTTCTAGATAACTGAGGATCTTGCAAATATTTGAGTTAATTTAAAAAAGAAAAAAATGGAGTTACAGTGTATGTTTTACAACAGTTTCTAAACAATAGCTTTTCATATGTATACCATTCTCAGACATGTGAATGTTAATCCTTACAGCTTTCTGAGGTACATTGCACACATTTTAGGTGAAAAAACAGATGTAAAAAGATAATACAATTTGCTTTAGGCCAGACTGGCAAAAATCAGATTACACTCAAAGACTTTCTGTCCCAGTGACTTGCTTTAAATTATTGCTCAATAGTTCTCTTAAAATAAGGTTATGAATTTCTAAATTGATGTAGTGCAGAACAATACTGTTGAGAGAAAGGACGCAAGCAGAAGTGTACTTCAAAGCAGAAACAGTGTCATTTTCTGGGGGAAGGAGGCTTGTTTGTTTTTATGTTGGTGGTTGTTTTGTTTCCCATTTCAGAAGGATGAAAGCAATGAGGACTTCGTTCAAGTCAGAAGGAGGGATTTGGAAAGGCTGACAACTGAGGTTATGCAATTGCGGGATTTCTTACCCAAGGTACTCGATGGTGATATTGTGTGGACGTTCCAGAAACTGGATGCTATTGAATCAAGTGAGTGGTGCCATGTTGTAGGCTGAGATAGTTTCTGCCAAGTCTATTCAGTGCAAACTGTTTTGCCCAGATGAATGGTTGTAGAGTTTGAGGCGTTCCAAGTTTAACTGTGATGTTTAGATTGCTTCAGGAAATTAATGTTTTTGCAATGAAGAAAATTAGAAAGCACATTAGAAATAATTAGGCTTAGGTCAAATTAATTTTTATATTTTGCTGTGGATAATACAGTTCAGACAGTCAGAGGTGTATCAGGAAAAAAGTGACTCTCCTTGGAGGGAATGGGAAAGTATTGTTTCCAAAATGTCTCTTAAAGTGATCAGCGAAAGAACAGGTGAAAAAAACCAAACAAACCTGCAGTTAAGAAGCTAAATTTGAAGGAATAAGTAGTAGCTTTGTGTTTAATAGGTTGAGCTTTGAAAACAGCTGTTCTACCTTGAGTTTGAGTCAGATCTTGACTTCTTCTCTGTGAGACTTTCTCTTGATGAATACCCAAGCAGTCGAGTGAAAGATCTACCTAGCAAGTCCCTGCCTCTTGGTGTGAGTGTCTGCATAATCTCTGGCCCACGTAGCCTTCTGGAATGAGACCTTAATGTATAATTTTTTTAACCTTCTTTGGGACTTTGGCTCAGATGGTAGAGAGTTAGATTGTGGTCTAGCCTCAAATAAATGTATTGGCCACGAAGTACTGGAAGAGAAGCAGAGCTCTGGAGTCCTACACTAGAATGCTGGCTATGTTGGTTAAGATAGATATGGAACCACTTTTCATAGGATCCTTTGGTTTGAAGTTGCTTTCCTGCTATTAATTAATTTTCAATCAAACTTCCATAGCTAGAAGTACAGCAGAGTACCTAGGAAACATCATGACTCAAACATTTCTGTAACTTCCAGAAGTTACCACTTTTCAGAATTACATTCTAGTCTTTAGAGCTTGCTGCAATTGCTGGCAGAACTCTGGGCTAATGCTTCCATTCTCTTTCTCCTCCAACAAAAGTCTGGGACATAAGCACAAGGCCTGTCTATGGTACCAAAGATTGTATTGGGGTGGAGTTTCCAGTAGTCTCCATCATCTGCTCTTTGGAAGGCTTCTTGCATGCCATCAAGTACCAATAGAGATAAGGAGACTGTACCATCTTCTGCTGCCACTTAAAATGTCATCCATGTCACAAGATGTGATGCAAGATCTTGAAATGGTCTGTGCTATTGTATGGTATCAAGGACTGTTGCCTGTTGGGTTAAGCTTTCAACATCTTCAACTCATGACACCTTTTACATAATTTTATCAGTGCTCTGTATACTTAATGAAGATTAAAGATGCTATAATTATGAAATAAACAAGAGAGCTAGGCAAAGCAGATTATGATAACAAAAAGAGAATAGATAGAAAGCTTACCTGTATCCTGGGCTCACTTACAAAACTCCAGCAGAGTGGATTTCAAGGTCCTTTCCTCCTGGTAGCCAGCTCTTAAATGGGTCTAGGAGCCAGGTTCCACCCCTTCCATCAAGGTGAATTGCCTTCACCTGTGCTCCTCTGGCTGACTCATTGCTTGCCTCAGGTGATCAATCAGAGGTTCAGGCCGTGACTCAGCAGTTCCCATACATGCTCAGCCACAAAATTCCTCTTATGTTCCTTGTGTCAGGCACCAAGGTGACATTATCAGAGCATTTTAGCTGCTGGTTTGTGTTCTTGACACACTGATCTCAAGACTTTCTTCCAAATGTTTTGCTGACTTGCCATTACTCTGTAGGTACTTTGGAGGAATTGCTGAAGTTAATCTTTAAATTATCTTGTGTGTATCCCCACAAAGGAGACTTTTCTTCCAATTAATGTTGTGTCTTGATTACTTATTCAGGCTTTTTCTGCTGTTTTCCTTCGCAGCTGGATGTGTCAAGTGGTGATTTTTACTATTCCATTCTGCTCCCACTTCTGTAGCAACAACAGCATGGAATAAGATACGCTGTGGAACATGCTGCTCACAAAAAGTGAGATGTCACAGGGGCACCATTGCAGCTGTTGACAATCCTCTGTCTTAAAATAGTGAGCTGTCTGGTTCTGGTCCTTAGGTAGGGTCTGTAGATGTCAGTGTGTGAAGCTTACAGGACTCTTCTGGAAGCTGCTTGAGATGGTTTTCCATACAGGTCTCATTGAGCCCTATGGCTGATCCAGGCTTTCAGCAACTATCAGTTTTCTAGGTAGTAAACCTAGAACATCTAAACATCAATTGGTTTATAATCTGGATTATAGCCAGAGATTTTAAACACCTCTTGTTTGTTCAATTGTGAGACTGATGACATCTTGAATAGCTTCAGGAAGCTCTGAGATCATTGTATTTATCACTTGCACAGCTTGATCAGTTAGATACCTTTGCTATGGGAGTACCTCGCTGGTGGTATCCAAGATCTGAACTGGCAACAATACAACTGGCATTACATTTGTGCTGCTGTTGAAGTCTTTTGTAAGGCTTTTTCCAGCATGATTCTTTGTCTCAAAAAGAGGGGTCTGTTTTCTTCTTACTGCCCTATTCAGGAAGAGTGGTTGGCTCCAGGAACCTTAAAAAAATCATTATACACCTATTCAGCAAGACCTAGCCCACTGTATATAGCACTGTTTGGATCAGTAGAATTGGAATCCCATCACTTGTTGGCATTCATTGTAACTGTACTCACTTCTCCACTTCCAAGAGCGTGGAGTTTAGATCTCTTTTCCAGAAAATACTCTGGTGTGACCTATAACACAGAGAAGAACGAGCCCACTAGAATTGTATGCCATTTCTTCTGTCACACCAAGTGTCTCCTTTTTTTTGGCTATGCTGTTGCTCTCAGGGAAAAATGTCACTTCTTCCTGGAGTCAGATTTACCATTGCAGTGGTAATGTTACATATTTCCTGTTTGTGTAGAGATGTCATTTTATATTTTTTGCTCATCCTTGTTGACAGTGAACACTGCTTCTTTGCTTGTTTAAGGCAGACAGTCTGAACCTCAGGATTTTAGTCTCAAAAAGGAGGGAGCTTTCTTACCAGGGAGTTGGGACTTACAGACAATGGGAAAATCTGTCAGGCTTCCTCTGTGCTGACAGGACTGCACTTTGCAGGGAGTGAGCAGCACAGCTGTGGTGTTTAACATCAGAAAAATGTCTGGTGCTCGTTCAACTGCCATATGTCAAGGGATTGTCAAGTGTTGGGACTGGTAAATCCAACCTTGAGTTCACTTCAGAGCACACCTGGAAGATTTGACTGGACGCAACAAGAGGAGTTCCCAGGATTGAGGCATAGCTGACAGTAGGTCTCTTTATCAGCTCTTTTCATCAGTCCTACCATTTTTTCCCTTATAGGATAGACTTAATGTTAGTTTCCTTTGACATAAGCCATCACAATACCTTAGAGGTAAATTCTTCTCCTTTTATCTGCAAGTCTTCAAAAGACAGCACGTAGTGCTTTATATGCAGACCTTAGTTAATGCCATTCCTTTTCTCCTGGCTCAGTCTTGGTCTCAGAAATCTAGTAGTGAGATGTGCAGTATCTTCATATGCCTCCTGGCACTGCCAGTACTATATTCAGGATGAATCCATCTCATCAAGTAGTGGAGGTGATTCTTTTCACTCTGGAGAGTTTGTCTCCTTGCAGTGAGAGAGGGCTTCACTAGGAGTTGGTTTCACTGGGTGTGCTTACCTGGCAAGGATGAAGAAGTTCTTGGTCTGCCATTGATAAGCAGAGAATGCCATCCTCAGACTCTCTATGTCTTTATGTTATAGAATCATAGAATATCCTAAGTTAGAAGGGACCCATAAGGATCATCAAGTTGAGCTCCTGGCTCCACACAGGAGCACCCAAAAATCAGACCATATGTCCAAAAGCATTTGCCAGAGTTCAAGAAGAGTCTGGACAATGCTGAAGACCCGCGTTCACAAAGTAATAAGAGACATGGGACTGGACTTTGTGAAGGAAAGAAAAATTTCCTATCACTTGAACAGTTCCTCAGAAGCTCAATGAATCCATCCTCCTGTTCATTTCTATTAGTTTCCTTTGAGCTGTAGGTTCAAAAGAATTGCATGTTTGGAGAGAGCACCTTGGCCCCTGGGCACATCCCAGGAGTGGGATTTGCATTGCCTGGATGCTGTCTGTTAAAATGTCCCGCTGTTGGTGGTTTAGCATCCCACAATGGTCAAATGGAAATACATCTCATCTTTTTAGAAGAGCTGCTCTAGGTGTCTTATATCTGCTGCTCAAAGTTGCGTGGATGCATTGGACATTATAATGTTTTGTCAATTAGGACAAAGGAAGAAAGGAACTTTGTTTCCAAATAATGTAGAGCTATTAAACTAAATGTATTTTTTTGATGTTACTTTTAAGCTTTATGATGTGCTCTGCTCTTGTGAGGCCCCACCTGTAGTACTGTGTCCAGGTCTGGAGCCTCCAGTACAAAAAAAACAGAGAGCTGTTGGGGAGGGTACAGAGGAGAGCCATGAAGATGATCAGGGGACTGGAGCACCTCCCCTACAAAGACAGGCTGAGGGAGCTGGGCTTGTTCAGCCTGGAGAAAAGAAGGCTGTGGGGTGACCTCATTGCAGCCTTTCAGTACCTAAAGGGAGCCTAAACAGGAGGGGAGTCAATTCTATGAAAGGGTAGATAAGAACAGGACAAGGGGAAATGGTTTTAAGTTGAAGGAGGGAAGATTTAGGTTGAGTATCAGGGGAAAGTTCGTTACCAAGAGAGTGGTGAGGTGCTGGCACAAGAGAGGTTGTGGATGGATCATCCCTAGAGGTGTTCAAGGCCAGGTTGGATGGGGCCCTGGGCAGCCTGGTCTAGTATTAAATGGGGAAGTTGGTGACCTTGCATGTGGCAGGGGGGCTGGAGATTCATGGTCCTTGAGGTCCCTTCCAACCTGGGCCATTCTGTGATTCTGTGATATCTTTTTATGGCGTGATCGTGTGTGTTACTCGGTAAGTACATTCAGAAATATTGACTGTGTGTGAGGGGAAGTATATATAAGGCATGCTAAGCCATAAGCAACAGATATGATCAAGGATGTGATGCTTCAGGTGGTGCATAACTTATTTTTAAGCTTTTCATATTTAGAGTAGATAATGTCTGCCTGTACTTTATGAAATTACATGAAGGTGTAAACACACACAATAAAACTAAGTAGCTGGAGCCATGTTTTTTGAAGTAAAAAAGTATATATAAACAGTGAGTGTGTATATATATATATATACTGTATATATAGTAGATATATATATATGCACACACAATACATATATATACACATATATAAATACACAATGCATATATATACTTACTAGGTATATAGTAAGTACATATAAACACAATAATTGTTGTTAAAAAATCCTTCCAAGTTTTTTTTTTTTTTTTTTTTTTCTTAAACAGACATCAGGATCTTGTAAAGTAATAATGTAATTATTATTGCATTATTATGTAATTATTGATATTCTTATAATACTGAATTATTTTAAAATACATTATTAAAATAATATAAAAAATAATGTAATATTTGAAACTTGATTTCCAGGCACTATGTAAAGCACCTGAAGTGCAGCATGAGATGTGTGACAAATCAGACTCAGTTTTAAGGGAGTCACTGGTAAATTGGGTTATCACTGGCACTGTTTAAGTGACTCATAATGCTTTATGCACATTCATGTAAAATATTGGAAGTAGTTGCATAAAATTCCTATTATCCACACAATTTGTGGTTTGCACATTGAAACATTCAATTTTGAATGAAGTTGGTGTTCCTTTTCTTTGAATTCTGAAGGCAGCAGATAGAAAACAAAATAGAACACTGGGTACATTTAAAAAAAAATCCCTGGGGTGCTCAGTTCCAGAATAGTATCTTATCAGCACATGCTATTTAATCATAGAATGGCCTGGGTTGAAAAGGACCACAAAGATCATTTAGCTTCAACCCCCAGCTATGTGCAGGGCTGCCAACCACCAGACCAGGCTGCCCAGAGCCACATCCAGCCTGGCCTTGAATGCCTCCAGGGAAGGGAAATCCACAACCTCCTTGGGCAAATGGGGGTATTTCCAGTCTTTTGCTGTTTTGAATCAGAAGCACCATACATTTAGGTTTGGTTTTTTAAGTCCTGTTAAAATGTGACAAATTGCTAAATACCGGTTTGGCCACTAGGAGGTGGTCTAACACAAGCAGATGTTCAATGTGTCCCATAAATACTGTGCTTAGTGGATTCATTTTTCTTTAGTGCCAGTTGGCTGTAACTTATTATTTCATTTATCTAATTTATTCTGTCACAGGCATGGAGAAAAAGGAGGAGGAAATAGAGCAGCTGAAAATGGATTGTGAGCACTTCAGAGCCCGCCTGGAAGCAGCCCAGACAGATTGCATGAGGGAGAAGAAGGTATATTTGCCATCAGGATAGTGAGATCTGTATGCTTAAGTTCTGAGAAGGAAATTGGGAGCAAGTGATTTTTCTTGTTTGTGTGTCAAAAAAACATCCTCAGCCTGGAAAACAGGCTCTTTCTGGTCTTTGTAATGTTAAAATCAGCCACTAGTTTTCTATAAATATATGGTAACATGCTGAAGTATGGCATTGGGTGCTTGGGGAGATTGTGGTGTAGATGGCATTGAAAAGGGATGGTACAAAATCCATTCTTTTCAATTCACTGCAACTGTAGCATGTTTTCAGAGAGGAGAACAGAAGAAAATGTAAGCAACACAACGTGCAAAATGATGCTGGCTTCTCCTTTGGTTTGCTTTGAGCTGCGTACCTGTGTTTAGTTTGAGGTTCTTTCACAATGCACCTATTGACCCAGTTGCCACGTACGGCTGTGAGTTGAGACAGAATTACAGAGCTGCTTTTGCTATGTCAGTACAGTGTTTAGTGATTATAAGAGGGAAATGCTTAACAATGCAGGAATAATGAAGACCACGATCTCTCAGATCTTGTTAGAGTCCAATAGACTTCACAGAAGATTGCATAGACTAGTGGTTAATTTTTGAGAGGCAGTTGTGAAGCAGTGGTGATTATTTGCTGCAAAAACTCCCTTCCAAGGAAGAGTGAACTTAGCAGAAACTCATTTTGCTGGAGTTCTGCAGTTAGGATCTGCCAGGTGGAATGTTGTACAAAGACAGATAAGTCTACAGAAATTATAAATAAGTGAAAACTCGTGACTTGAAGTTTTAGGGCATGTCTGTGTGGACAAGTCATTCTGGTGTGAAGTTTAGTATGAATGTAGCAGCTGTCTGGGTGGCAGTTCATGTGATGGAATAACTGTCTGTTTGGATACTTTTCTATTTGCTGAGATAAGTATTGCAGTTTTGCTGTGCTTGTTGTTTAGGCATCCAGATTGAAATCTCAGTAGGATTTAATAGTGCTGCTGCTTTAGATATTAAGTGAGGCCCACCTTTTGTACACATGAATATTCAAAAAAATGAATGGAAGGTGACTTAGGTTATTGATTTCTTTAGGATGAAACTTTTAGTTAAAGCATGGGTAGTTAACTAAGAATTATTGGTGTTTTGGTGATCTTGATCAAAGCTCTTCATATCTTTGCTGTTGTGCAGTGTACGCCAGTTGCCTAAATGGCTCCTGTTGCTTGTCAAAAAAGTATATGCCCCAGGAGGCAGGCTAGATGATTCAAGGCCAGGATAGATGTGTCTCTGGGCAGCCTTGTCTGGTGGTTGGTGACCCTGCACGTAGCAGGGGGGTTGAAACTAGATGATCTTTGTGGTCCTTTTCAACCCAGGCCATTCTATGATTCTGTGATTCTGCATTTGAGTGGATAGTGTTTATGTACGTTGTGAAGTCCTGTAGCTCTTTGGGATGAAAGAAGATGGTGTATGCACAAGTGATTTTTTTTTTCCTTTATGATTTTGCATGGTATTTTTCATTTGCTTGCTGTTCTATGTATCCTTGTGTATAGTTCCAGAATTATTTTTTACATATTTATTTTCTGAAGGAAAAGGAAATGATTCACTGAAACGAATGATAAAAATGCCTTTTCTGGCTGAGCTGTGCCTTTTTCTTAGGGGGCCGCAAATCAACATTCTGTTTTCCAAAACTGCTTTGCAATGCTGCATCACTGGTGAGTGAATTGCATTGCTTCCTGAACCTGAACAAAACCTGGAGTGTGCGTGTTATTCTTGGCTAATGCCTCCTTTGTCTGCCTTTTTGTAGTTAGGTGCTTAAGCATCGCTGTATTCCTGTGCCTTGACCATTTCCTGAGGGGGGTGGTGTTGCATAACGCAGCGATTGCTTCACGATTTGAACTCTCAGGAGTGTCTCACTTCCAGGTTGTTTGCTTTCAAGCTCCATTTATCTTCCTGGCTCCTGAATGTTCTATTTTGTTTTCTTTGCTTCGTACCTTTGTTCTCATATTGTTTTTATCTGTGCACCACTGTGCTGTTTCTCGTGGCTTTGCACCATTGTTGGGGGATGTAGCTATGTGGTCTGGCAGAGCTTTGTTTATTTAGCATTAGCATCCCCATGCAAAATGCCAATAAAACACATTAAACTGTACATTTATCTATGGATGGTACAGGAAAAAAAAAAAAAGACAGGGACAGTATAGGAGATAGACAGAAGGATGCTTGTGGACATTTAGTTGATGCACATGGTAACAGAATAGTTGATAATTCCAGCAGTGAGTTATGTAAAAAACAAAATTTGGCTAACTCACTTGAAAATGATCAGAGAATTAAGAAACGAGACAATTTTTGTGACAATTTATGCCTAGGGAATTGGCAGCAAGATTCAGTCTTTTGCATATATTAAGCCATAAGGTGAGAGAAACTATGGAAAGAAAATATCCATGTCAGTCTGCTTGATAGATTTCATTTGAACATTCCAAATCCTTCCCTGTGTGTTCCATTAGCAGCATGATAAAGCAGCTCAGTTCTGGCTGTCAGATGTGATATAGGGGGCTAGGCAGGTGATTGATGACAAGCAGACAAACAACCTTGTACTGGTTGATTCTATGTTACATAAATTTTTTGGTGACTACCTTTCTATTCTCTCCAAACTGAAAGCAAAATATTGAGGTGAATCTCTAAAATGCCAAGATAGGAACTTTTAAAGTCTCGATGGGGATATGTGCTTGAAGGTAGTGTTGCATTTGCTTACTTTGCAAATTGGCATTGAAAAGATGCCTTCTCATTCCCCAGGCTTCATCCTGATAAGCGGATAAACAGGGAAGAGTAGGCTGAGGAGAATGTTTTCTGTGCTGAATCTGAAAATCACATTCCTCCCCCCAGAATGGGCAGATCAAGATCCTTCTGTGATCTGTGGTTCTCTCACTTAATCCCTGAGTTAATGTCAGTTTTCTTGATAGGCCCTTATCTTTCCCTGCAGCACTAATACCACCCCTCAGCACTACCTGGGAGTTCCCACCCATCTGGCAGACTGTGGTATCCCAGTCCCCATCTCACTGTCAGCACTAGCTTGAAGCTGAGAAATGCAGCAGTTTTGCTGTACCTGTAGCAGTCTGTGGGAAGCCAATGAGACATAGAATCATATGTAATCTTGTTACATCTTTTGGCCACCTTCCTAAGCCTTACTGAAAAGTACTGACAGATTGAGACTGAGTCCTGGTTGTGTTGAATTGCTCTGTTCTTTCTTCAGCTCTGTTGCAAGAACTACCAAGCACCTCACTCAGCTGCAGGATACACAATGGAGCGTGGGCTTTTCTGGTCTTAAGTGTGAAAGGCACTTCAAACTTCAGGCTTGTTTTTCTAGGGACTCTTACTTTGCCACTACTTTTCAGGAATATGCCAGTTGAAAGAAGTTGGAAGAACCAACAGGGATAGCCAGCATTTGTCCCACATTAATGAAGGCAGCCCATTTTGAAAACCAGAAGAACCCTCCCTTCCTTTGAGATGTTCCCAGTATCTTTTGTAAAGTGGCTGGAAAGGCTGACTTCTGATGCTGAAATCTCTTCCCTCTCTGAGATACACAGCTATTTGCTTAGGATGAGTAGACTTTCTTATCAGACTTCTCTAGGTGCCCCTCAGTCTCAGTGGGTCACTTGGCCTGCCGTTGTGGACAGGCTTCTGGTTACTGTCAGCCTAAGTGATATGTTTACTACTTGGCTGTAGCTCAGGAGAGAAGATTTGCATTCAATGCAGTGAATTTGCCCCCCATCCCACACACACCCTTCCATATATATGACTGTGGCGTTTCTTATTCTGTCCTGTAGCCTCAAAACATCTGGGCTGACATGAAGTGCAACCCTAATTTCTTTGTGTCATTTCAGGAGAAACTAGACCTCCGGCAGCACCTGCGTGAGGCCAAGCAGCAGCTCCTGCAGCAAGCAGAGTATTGCACAGAAATGGGTGCAGCTGTCTGCACCTTGCTGTGGGGTGTATCTAACAATGAGGAGGCTGTTAAAACCATTCTAGGAGGAGTAAGTATGGCAGGTGAATACTTATTGGTGGTAATGCTGGTAGGTATTTAAAATAAGTACCTTGTTTTGTTACACTTTTCAACATAGGAATATATTTCAGAAATAAATTGGACAACAAAGATGTTTCCTGATTTAAATATTCTCTAGGAAACATCCATATTCTTTTAAGAAGAGCAGGAGATATTAAATGCTATGCAGTAATTAAATTTTGTTTTAGCAAGTAAGGGTTACCTGTTGTCTGCCACACACAGTTAATTTGGAAGCAAGGCTACAGCTAGCATAACATTATCAAGCAGCAATTCCATGCTGGCAGAGTTTGGAGGAGCTGTTTCCATGAAAGGAGGACAAATTCATCAGTTCTACTTCCTTGAGTCCTTACCCCAGTACAGTCTTTGTGCTGCCTTAATATTTGTGTGAATCCTGAAAGTTTAGAAAGTGTAGCTGTTTCAAATTTAGTGGATCTTAATAAATCTTCAGTGTTAAACATGAGCAGGTAGTTTACTGAAAACAAAGCAACAGAAAAAAAACAACCAACAAACAACAAAACCCCATCAATTATAGACAGCGTTAATGTTATAACTAATATAATTTCACTGCAGCTGGTGGAATTAGGAGGAATCAGAAGAATAAGCCTGACAAAAATATAATTTTGGTCTTCTCGAAGCTGACATGAGAGGGAGTTGTATTGAAGCTGAGTAAACTGATGTCACACTTTCTTTTGGTTTTTCAGCAACATGATAGCTTTCAGTGACACCTTTTGATCATTCAAGATATAAAATACAAAAAAAAAACTGATAGGTGGACAGATTCTACAAAGCCCACCCATAGCTGTAAAACCAGAATAAAATCACATTCTGTATTTTCAGGACAGTTTATAACTGTAAGAGCAGATAATCATTTAGTGACCAGGCATTGTTGTTTGACTTGTGAAATGGTATTGAAAGGGCACGCTTCCCACAAACAAAACATTAGCAGTGCTGTATGTGACCTTCTTCTGCAAGCTGAGAGTGAAGTTAGTAGAAGCCTTGTTGAAAACAGCCTTAAATAGAAAAATCAAATAGCATTAAGTAAAAAGCTGAATTATACACTGACATACACTTGTGTGGAAAGCCTAACTATGAAGATGCAATTCTTTTATTTCTAAGTTTATTTGAAATCCCTAGCAATCATTAGAGCCCACTGAACTGCTGCATTTCTGGTGAGGGTCATAGAAACATTTTTGGGCGTAACTTGCAGAGGTGCAAGTAAAATGATAAAAAAAAGGTTTGCAACAAGGCTACTGTGAATTAGATAAATGGATTGCATGGCATTGTATCAACCACAGATTACAACTGGCAGTGAGTCAGGTTATTAAAAGACGATGGAGGATTGTCATACGAAGTTTTTGGTTTGGGTTATTTTTGGACAAGCTGTGCAGCTTGTAGTACCTTCTCAAGGGAAGATGCTGTGAACTACAAAAACGTATGAGAACATGAAGAGTGCTTTTAAACTATTGCTCATATTTAACTGTGTGGGGAAGGGTGGCATCAATTCAAAATAACTTCATGCCTTGGGGAACAATGCTCAGCTTTTTCAATCACTGCACGGATATAGAAGTAGTTCTTTTATATAGCTCTGTAATGTAGATTGACTGATATGATATTTGTGACTAATAAAGCATTCATGTCGATGCGGGTTGGGCAAGTCAAAACTTGAGCAGCAAATTTCAAGTGTAACATGAATAGCTTGCGAGGCAGTGGGAGAGAAGTGCCTGGCATTTGTACTGATGCTTCACATTTCCCGAAAGAACCTGAAGAAACATCTGGAGAAGCAGCATGAGTGACAGTATTCAAGTACACCTACCTGCATGTGCTAAGGACCAAGTAAATTAACTTCTATGAGGTTGTTTTATGTGTCTTTCAAAAAGACACATGTGACACATACTTCAGGTGGGTATTCACATCGCAGGGCTCTAATGTGGAAACAGAAACTGAAGGTTTAATTTCAGAATAACATCAAGGTTTACTTCAACATAAGACATTTTGGACGTTACCAGGTGAGCTGCTACTGCAGTTATCTGTGATGGTGAAAATCTGCTCTGTATTTTATGGCAGCATTTTCGTATGTTAACTGATGTTTTCACTGAGAAGTTACATGGAATGCAAAGGAGGGGCTCACTGCACCATTTCAGCTCAAGCACATTAATGGCTGCTCTCAGAGCTGTCCTTATCTCAGCGTCTATGGGTGAGAGACTCTTCAAGTTCCATGAAAACACTGTCAAGCTAATCAGAGACTGCACAAAGTATGTCATGTTTCTTATTTATGAACTTGACTGATCTCTGCTTCCTCATCTGAGACCTCACCACTAGTGAAATGATGGTTCTTTGGAAAGAAGGCTCAGCAGCAAGGACACCAGTGCACCTCAATGGACCGACTAATAATTTTGCCTGGTTTCTGGTTTCCTTAGCACTCTCTTAGTACTACTCTTGCATAGTGTTCTTGTATGAATACACTTTTTTTATAGTAGCTTACATTAGTCTGCAATACTAAATTTTCTTCCTTCATTTTCTCTTGTATCCTTTGTTGCTTAAACGATAGTCACTGCTTATGTTAAAATGACCATCTCTGAGGAGCATTACCCATGCTTGTATACAAAATACATTTGGTGCAAGCAGAAGCATACTTTTTTTTCCCTTGTCTTTCCCCATAACCCCTTCATTCCTATTCTGGGGCTGCAGTTTCATTTGTGAAGAAAGAGTGTTGGCTCACCCTGCCTTCTATGTCCCACTGTTGGAGTCACCCCACACGAACTGTGCTGCGTTTCTCCCAGATCATGTCTTCAGTGTGGTCTGTGTGCAGCAGTGGAGAAATAAATGAATGGTATTGGTGGGTTTTAAGTATTGTGAAGATGGTAGTTTTGATAAAATACTGAATATTTCAGTCACTTTCAAACTAAGTAGGAGTTCAGCAATTTCACAAAGTGATGGGAATTGTAGGCACTTTCTTGAGCTATTTGGCTTTTCCACTGGCTTGCTGCAGGAAGTGACGAGGTTTCAGTTCTCATGAGATGACTTGCAAAATTATTAAGCACACCAGGAAACCTGCGCTTTCTGTTATGCTATTTTGATCGAAAAAACAGAATCCTCTGTGGGAAATAGAGCTTCAGCAGTGTTTTACAGGTCAGCATTTAAGGAGAAGCCGTTCTTTCAGTTGCTCTCTGTGGGTTCTGCCTGCATCTCTGACCATGTTCTTTGATCTGCTCTGAGCTTCGTGCTGGATGATTAATTCTTCAACGGAGATACCCCAAAACGGAGCAGTATTCCAGCTGAGATCTTGTGCTGCATAGTGGAGATTGTATAACATAATTACAGGCTGTGCTTCTGTTTACTCATTCTGGCATGATGCTTGTCTTTCCTAGGTGACATTGACTTAAATTTGACCTGTGACCCAGAGGAGACCTCTATTTCCTATTCTAAAGAGCTGCCCAGCACGTTATTCTTCATCTTATATTGAGCAATACATGAATCCTTTTATTAGGATCTCTGAGCATTTCATTGGTTTTCTTAGGAAATTCATAACAAGTCATGCAGGCTAGGCAACTGTCCGGTTGTCAGCTAGATAGAGTTTTGGCAAAAGTGGCTGTAGTTGAGGTGAGTATGAAATGCCTTGCAGCTACTGCAAAGCAAAGAGATAATGGTCTTGGTTTTGAGAGTAAGCACTTTGTTTAATATGCATTATTTAGAGTTTAGGATGTAATTATGCAATAATAGAGTTTTATAAACGTAGCACTGAGTAGTTTCCCTTATTCTCCTGAGATAATGGTTCCAAATATTAGAGAATTAAGCGTGTCACTTGGTGTTTACCTTTTACTTTATACTGTTTTATGAGGTGACTGGATGCTTTAATAACTTTGCAGTTTGTCCAGTTTTATTGTAGGATCTAATAATCATAGTCACTGTAGTGTGAATAATTTTTTTTTTTCTCCTCCACGCTTGCAGAGCAAGGCAGCGAAGTTTTTTACTATCACTGCACAGACTATGGAGAGCTTTGTGAAGTCATTAAGTGAAGACATGAAACAGCAGGATTTGGATTCTGATGAAAATCAGTTTGTGTTAGCGTTGGCAGGGATTGTAACAAGTAAGTTAATGTTATCTCTCAAAATAGCATTTCATGTACACTGGGAATTTCTTTATTGCTCTGTATATACCACAACAATTACAGCCTTCTGAAGTCAAATATTTAGTCAGTGTTGGTATCTTGGGTGACTTCTAGTCTTCTAAAGCTCTAGCAGATTTTTTTGATTTGGTAACTCTGTGAGGAATTGAACTTTCTGAACTTCAGTTAAGGATGTGATGTGTAAAATTTGTTCAGTTCTGAAATTTCTTAGCACTTCTGGTCAATCTGAAGTAAAGCAAGTACTCTTTCACTAGTCATCTGCACTCACCTTGCTTTGTAAATGTCAAGCAGTGTACTGTCTGAATCACAGATAGTGCTCACATCTTTGAGATGTGCTAGCTGCAGATGATGCAATCATCTCAAGGTATGTGTTCAGCATTTTGAATTTGTGTAAGAGTCTTGTTGTCAGGTGGACTCCATCTTCGCTGTCTTCTAGATCCCCAATTCAGTGATCCTAAGAGAAGTAGAAGTTAATAAATGTTACTTCCACCCTAAATATTTTTTTAGAGGTAGAAAATAGATAGGAATCACAGAACAGAAGGAAGACAGAGATTGTCTCTGTATGGCTGCCCTTGGCTTGGAAGGCTATTAGAGATAGGGATGATACATCAACTGCAGTGCAGCTGTCAAAATGGTATTAGTTAATGATGTGATGCAAGGTAGGTGAAACAATGGCTGTACAAGTGAATCTTGCATTAGTGGCTTTTCTGAATGTATGATTTTAGGTGCTGGTGTGCCGTTAAAGAAATAAGAAATGATGTGTGGCACATTGTGCCACTGTACCAACTAAGGGTGGGATGCAGTTCTCTCCAATAGCTTCACCAGAAAAAAAAAAAAGAAAGAAAAAAAATAGCAATAGAAGCATAGCAAAAGTAAAGTCAGAACAAATAAAATGTTTAATGGCCTGTGTGGGGGAGGATGACGGTGTTCTGCCTGAAGAGGAATCAGTGTGGTGGAACGAAATCTTGCCTCACTGAGGCTGATTTTTTTTTCCACTGAATTAAGTGATGCCAAGGTTTTTCTCTTTGTAATTTAGGAAAGGGGTTGCTGAAACTTAAGTATGATAAAGGATGCAGACATACAAATGATGTAGAAAGTATGAGTGTAGTCCTCCTAGTATTACGTTAGAGGAGGAGAGCTGGTCACTAAGTGCCAAGTATTCAGAAGTCGGAGAACAACAGAACAGAAGTTCTGAGTGCAGTCTTAACACAGCCCAGCATGAACACACATTATGGCACCAATCCTTAATTATGTGCCGTATCCTTTGAACATCTGCTTAATTCTGAGTTTAAAAGGCCTTTAAAACTGAAAAAAAAATAAAAATGGACATCCATGTCAGAGAGAAACTGAGGGTACGTGGAGGAACTTTGTCATGCAGTACATCCCAAAATCTGCCCTGAATGGGAGGCCAGGGAGCTGAATTCTGTCACTCATTACATTCATGGTACTTCACTCACTTGGAGGAGGCTTGAAAGTCCAAGTTGCTTGAAGATGTTTTACACATAAGGATTTCCTGAGTTACAGGACTAGCATAAGGGAAAATATTTGAGGAAAATCTGTTTTAGAGCAGTAGTCACTGGAAATGTTTTTGCCACTTGGTTCGTGCGTGAATAATGTAGTGCCTGCAGAGAATTAGGAAAAGAACTCTGAGTAGACTTTCACAAGTATTGCAGTTGTGTAATGTGCCAGGCATATTGGATTGAGTGACTGTAAAGCAAACTCCAATCCTGTTCCTGAAAATCAGAATTTATGATGCTCAGCTTTGCTTCATTCCCGTGGTACTTGTAGATTTTAGGCTAGAACTGCTTGAATCCATCCTTTCGTTTCATGATAACTGTGTTATTGCTAGAATGCTGGCCACTCTGAACAAATATTTGAATTATTGAAGTAGAATTATGAGGGAGTTTGATCAGAATCATTTGCTGCTCCAATATTTGCTCTGACGATGGATGTAGCTTCAAGTTGATGCAGATACAATAGTTCATTCATTACAGCTGACATTTTTTTACTTGTTCTGGTAATTATCATAAAGTTATGTTTGAAACATGAATTTTATGGTGATATTTTGTGTTCTCTCACAGATGTGGCTGCACTGGCTTGTGGCCGTGAGTTCTTGGTTAGTTCAAGTCGTGACCTGTTGGACACAATGATGCACCTCCTGGGAGAGATGAAGCCAGGACTTTGTACAAAGTTTAAAGTGTATGATGACTTTTTTTTTCTTCTTTGAATGTAGATCAGTGATAAAAGCAGTGTTACCACTTTCACATTATTATTTCCTTTCCTGGAGGTGAGGCATAACGGTTGGAAACTTTCCACAGAAGCATTCCTTGCAGATACACTAGGCTTACCTGCAAGGCTAGCTTTATCCAGGTTTTGTGTCCCTTTAAAAGACTCCTAAGCACTGTAATACTGCCCACCTACCTTCGGAGGGGCTCATTGTTTGAGGGTCAGATAAGGAAAGCATGAGGTCAAGCTTTAAAATAGAGATAACTGTGGGAAATGTAGATTTGTGAGTTTTGTTCTCTTCCACTACGAAGAATACCTACTTGCTTAAGTGAAAAAAGTGCTCTGCTAAGAGCAAAAATTAGATTACTGAATTCTAAAACATTAGTAGCCAGAGGCACTGTACACTTGTAATAGGTGCTGCCTGTAAAGGGACTTCATGACAGAGAGATGAAAGAAAAGCCCGTGTTACACCCTTCAGCCACTGAAGAAGTTGTACTTAGTAAGTGGTGGAGAAACTAAGAAGGTTGCTAGCTGTGTCTTTTTCTCACACCTTTTAAAGCTGAGAAGAATGACTTTAGCAAGCAAATTACCACAGCTTATCGAGTACTTAGTATTTTGCTACACAGTGGACACTAGCCATGTCATGTCATAGAATCACAGAATCACAGAATGGCCTGGATTGGAAAGGACCTCAAGGATCATGAATCTTCAACTCCCCCACCACATGCAGGGCCACCAACCTCCCCATTTAATACCAGACCAGGCTGCCCAGGGCCCCATCCAACCTGGCCTTGAGCACCTCTAGGGATGATCCATCCACAACCTCTCTGGGCAGCCTGTGCCAGCACCTCACCACTCTCATAGTATAGAACTTCGTGGTTAATTTGTTCTTGAAGATGGTTTAAGCCAACGTATGTGGTTTTTTTTTCTAGCTGGGCAGGGAGTGCATGCTGTGAATTCATGCACAAGCTAGCTATCACAGTTCAGCTGACAAACAGCAACCTTGTCAGCCACAATAACCCGATTGCATCTCTATGCGCGCACTTAAGCAGCTTGTATGTGATGAGTATGAAATCAGGCTCAGTCCTAAATTCGGATAGGTTTTATATTGCTTAACCTCAGCTGTCTGAAAGCTAGTGGTCAAGTATCTGGTGGCTTTCTGCGCTTCTTCCTACCGTCAGTGCAGAGAGATGGGGCTGTAAAATGACTCATTCAGCCCATGTTGGAAGTGAATAAGCTGCCCTCTGAAGATACTTGCCTTTACATGAAGGGTAGCGAAGAGGAAGCTGAACAGCCTGTGCTGTATGCAATAGATAGATACTTTGGGGTCAGTTGTTTCCTGTGTTTCCCAAGCTTTGGTCTTGAAGGTCAGCCTCAAAGCAAGCTAGTTAACACTTGCAGCGGTGTTTTTCTGTTAAGTCCCAACTAAAAGATTCAACTTAAGAAAGAAGAGATAGTTTGTGCCTTCGTGTATTTATGGAAAAATACTAAGAGAGGTCCTACAGTGGTTGAAAGCATGCATGTCAACCAAAAAAACAAAAACAAAAAGGATTTTCTTTAATGGGGAGGAGGGAAAGTGTTCCTAAACATAGTCAAGATTTTAAGCAAATGAGCAGCTGTGGGGTAAGATGTGATTTTTGAACATTTCAGGTTGTATTAATGTAGTTTGATAATGCAATTGGATTTGAAGGCCCTCCTTTTGAAACGATATTTTGTTTTAATTATATTTCAAAACCTGCCAGAAGACTCGCATGTGATGCTGTGAACATTGTGGCCGTACTGCAGTACAAATACTGAAATACATGAAATAGAAATAAAGTACACAGAATCAATCCCATGAAGCAGTTAGGGGTTCAATAGAGCCTTTTGGTATAATAAATTGAGTGAAGTCTAAAGAAGAATTTGCACAAGAAACGTTTAGATGTTGTACTGAGGGACGTGGTTTAGTGGAGAAATATTGGTGGTGGGTGGGTAATTGGATGGGATGATCTTGGAAGTCTTTTCCAACCTTGGTGATTCTGTGATTCTATATACACATACAGACAGATATTTTTACAGCTCTGTCTTGTGGATGAGAACGTCCATCATTTTAGAAGGGTGGTGTATTTCCTTCAAAATGTCACCACTCTGTGCATTACATAGAATCACAGAATTGCTCAGGTTGGAAAAGACCTTAAAGATCATCGAGTCCAACCACAACCTAACCATCGTACCCTAACTCTAACAACCCTCCACTAAATCATGTCCCTGGGCACCACATCCAAACGGTTTTTAAACACATCCAGGGATGGTGACTCAACCACCTCCCTGGGGAGCCTATTCCAGAGCTTAGCAACCCTTTCTGTAAAGAAGTGTTTCTTGATATCCAACCTAAGCTTACCCTGGAGCAACTTGAGGCCATTTCCCCTCCTGTCCCAGTGAGAAGAGACCAACCCCGCTCTCGCTGTAAGCACCTTTCAGGTATTGGAACAGAGTGATAAGGTCTCCCCTCAGCTTCCTCTTCCCCAGACTAAACAGCCCCAGTTCCTTCAGTCTCTCCTCATAGGACATTTTCTCCAAGCCCTTCACAAGCCTTGTTGCCCTTCTTTGGACCTGCTCCAGCATCTCCATGTCCTTTCTGAGTGAGGTGCCCAAAACTGAACACAGTACTCAAGGTGAGGCCTCACCAGTGCTGAGTGTAGAGGCAGGATGACTTCCCTAGTCCTGCTCACCACACCATTCCTGATACAAGCCAGGATGCCATTGGCCTTCTTGGCCACCTGGGCACACTGCTGGCTCATATTCAGCCAACTGTCCATCAGTACACCGAGGTCTCTTTCCATCAGGCAGCTTTCCAGCCACTCCTGCCAAAACCTGTAGGGTTGCCTGGGGTTGTTGTGACCAAAATGGAAAGAAATTACTGACTTAACATTTAGGCAATAAAAGACAAAATTTGGCTTCGTATTTTCAAGGATGTGTTTGTCCTTTGCTCAGTTTTGTTGCTTTAAAATTATTTTTTAGCTTCTATTTTCAAAAGTATTTTTCTTTACTGTGTGACAAATAGGGGGAGACTGTGACTAATTCTGCACGCAGCAGAATCGAACACCAAGTAAACTGGAAAGAGAAGTTCTCTTCTTTCCCTCTTTCAGTTCTAGCAATCTGTGAGGGTTTTTTGTTGTTGTAACAATGTATAAATAAAATATTTAGGGGAAAAGTTTCCAATTATTCTCACAATGCTACACTATCCATACAGCTAAAGCTTCTATGTGGGTGCTAGGACTGAAATCTCATGACGTTATTTTGCCTTTCTGAAATCATGGTGTGAAAGATTTTACATGGCGTTGCTGTAGGCTTTGATCAACACTAATAATTATTAGGTGGTCAGTAAGCATTTTCACAATTGTTTATGTCTGTAATTAAATTGATGGGAATCTTCAGCTTTGCTCATGTAGCACTTGGAAGCAGCCACTAAGAATATTTCACTCTATGTACTAATCCCATCTATTAAGGAAAAGGGCCTTCACAGTGGTTTTAGCTGTAGATTTTAAAGCAGTGACAGATACAGTAGTAAACAATGTTAATTATTTTGGAATTGCCTAAATATGAAGACTGTGAGGCGCATAACTAAAGAACTCTCCACACTGACAGAAAGCAGAAAATACTGTCTATGAAGTCATGCTGTGTGTCAGATTTTCTTCATAAAAATAGGAATTACAAAAAGTACTTACTAGCATGTGCAAGTACTGGTGATATAAACTGGTATGAAGGGCCTGGAAAAGTTTGTATTGTACACATGTGTGTTTAATTAGTAATAATATGCTACTGTAGGATGAGGCCCTTAGTGCTGGTTAGTGGGATGGGCTGAGTCCTGTTGTGACCCTGCAAACCACAGCACTTTACTGGATCACCAGCACAACTCAAGTCTCTTTTGTCTGCACATAGCAAACAAGTAAAAGAAGAATACAAACATAGCGGTATCTCTTTACGTCACTTTATTTCTATCTGTAAATGTCAAACAGATTAATGATGAAAGAAATTGTCGAGAAATATTAGCACTTTCCATTGTGAGGTATTGTTTTTTGATCATTTTAATTCTGGCTGATTAGATGTAATTACAGCTGTGCTGCTTTGTCAGGGCTTGGATTCTGGATTGCATTAAGAGCTGCAGGAGCCATATAAAAAGGAGCGTGTGGGCTTTATGGCTGCAAATTCAATTCCACAGCACCTCTCACTGCTTACTGATGGCCACTGATGCAGTAGATTTAATAATCTATTGCTCTTGTTTCTAACTACTTAAGAGCCTGAGTGATCAAACTCGTAGCAGTGCAGCAGTTAATGTAGCTTATCTTTTGTTGCAGACTGAACTGAGTTGTGTTGCTTTCCTTTCCTGCTATATGAAGATATGCATGGAGACTGCTGGAAACCTTGCTGATGGCAGATTAACTTAAGCCGTGTTCACTTAAGAATGAGATGTGAGGTGTGAAGACTGTTAGGAGTAATGTTATTTCCCTCTTGTTTGGAAATGGTGCCAGTAGGATAACAGGCAGCTTTATCACAGTCGTGAGAGATAGCAGCAGCCAAGATCCCAGAACAGGGCAGAGAATTCCAACCTGCTCCTGTTTCTGTATAGTTGTTTGTATGAGACCTAGTGCTATGTTCTGAGTATCATGATGTGCTCTGTCAATGTTACAGGAGCTGCATACTTTCATCTTCCCTTTTCGTTGTCCAGAGCATTGACTTACATGTTGTCATCTTTGAAAATTAAATAGGAATTCATAGCACCAACCGTAGCTTTTTTAAAGTGCACTAATCCTGTCATTCCAGCCACTGCACAGCTTTTAAGATATTCTGCATAAAAGGCAGGGTAGGAGAACATCACTGGAAGGGAGAAAGGATATGTGAGACAACTTCTGACTCCAGAACTTTTCAGGTGCATCGGGGTCATCTTGGCTGGAAGTTTGTAGTGGTTGAGTGTTATTCTACACTGAGAGGGCAGTGAGGTGCTGGCACAGCTGCCCAGAGAAGCTGTGGTGCCCCATCCCTGGAGGCTGGATGGTTGGATGGGGCCCTGGGCAGCCCAATCCAGTGCACAGTGTCCCTGTCTGTGGCAGGTGGGTAGGAAGTTCCGACCCAAACCATGCTACAGTTTTAGGATTGGTTTGCCTTGCTAACATCCATGGCTTTTTTTTTTTTTTTTTTTCCTGTATGCTTTCTACCATTAAGTAGAAAGGTTCCTGCTGACAGTTAGAAGAAAATGGAAATAATTCTGAGGTAAGCTCACTGACTCTACCTAGCTGAAAAAGAAAATTTTAAACAAAATTTGTACAAAAACTATCATCAGAAATATGGAAGGCAGTGTGATATTATCTGCATTTGAAAACGTTTTGAAACGTTTGAAAGCAGAACTAGCTCAGCAGAAGCTGCAGGAGAAGGTTTAGTGTCAAGAAAATCCTTTGCATTTAGTGTTAGTAGTTGCTAGTGCTGAAAAGTGGAGATGTGTTTGGAGCCTCAGGGTGCCACATTTGTCCAACAATCTGAAGCAGCTGAAACTGCATTTTGGCCTAGGCACTTTGTCTGCACAAACTGGCAAAGATGCCATTTCTCTGTGTAGCATCCTATGTCTTACAGCATCGCACCAGCACTGACGTAGCTGAGGCTGATGCGCTTGGTACTTGGTAGTCAGCCCCCCCCTTTCCTGATGGTTTTCAGATTTTTTCAAGTTCCTGATCATACTGAAGGTTCTCATGTTTGCAGTAACTTAATTGGAAGCCATCTTGAGAGAAACTGGTGGGATCAGCAGGCTGGAGTCATCCTGTTCAAATACCAAGACTTCTCCAACAAATCTCATTTTCTCCTTGTAGAAACGCTGAGAGTGGTTTAATATGTAACTTGTTTTCTACGCAGTCCCAAAAGAGGACTAATGCACCTCCTTATTTAGGGGGCTGATAAATTAGGAAAAACAGTTTTGGGGAGCTTTTGAAAATGTAGCTGAAATGAACGAGTTGTGTTTTTATTGTGTGGTTCACACGCTGAAGTGCAGTGTGACTGTAAAGAGCAGCAGTCTTGGTTTCAGTTTGTCAGAGGTGTCACGTTAGATTTTTTTTTCAATTCTCAGTGAAGTAAATTCTTTGTAGCTGCACGACTGTAGGTGGTCTTTGTTAACCTAGAAGACAGCATATGGGTTCTGTCCTTTGTCAACCTGATGACCGTAATAAAAAACGAAAAGAAATCACCTTCTAAGAAAATAGTCTTTTTTCTAAGGCTTTGAGGTTGCCCAAATGTCATTTGGAAACAAGTTTTGAAGAGGTGTGGGTGAGAGTAGCATTTGGCCTGTGCTATCCTGTGTTGATTTGTGCTAAAAGCATACTTATGGCCAAACTGAAGTCTGGTGCTGTTGTCTTAAAACAAACCAAAAAAGGCCAGATGTCTTTCCACTTGTGAATTGAAACTAATCAATCAGGATTCCTGAAGGCAGAGTGAATAGAAAAGCCTGCGATGACATTTTAAGAGATGAGCAGTCTTTTTTTTTCACAGCAGGGTCTCCATTTACAGGCCAGCAGCATCCGGTTGGATGAGGCCTTGGGCTACCTGATCTAGTGGTTGGTAACCCTGTGTACAGCAGGGGGGCTGGATGATCTTTGAGGTCTTTTCCAACCCAAGCCATTCTGTGATTCTATATTTGTCATTCTGTGGTCACGCTGCCTAACACCTGTGGCAGAAAGCAGCAGTCCAGCATAGGAAGAAGCATGCTAAGCTGAATTGTGACTACCCACGCTTCCTTTTTTTATACTTAGAGCCTGCTCCCTTCTTCTAAGTGCTTCGGTAGGTGTAGTCACTTCCCTGTAAGAGGAGAGAGAATGCATTGGTTCTCGCTGTGCATTAGCTATGTATTACATCTGTTCTTATCTGCTGTAGAAATAAGATAATACTTCAAAGAGAATGGCCTAAACTGTGTGTCTGTTTCAGCTGACCGTAGGATTGGTGTACATAAGGCCTGCATTGCACAACCAGTGGAGCACATCCTTTGACATTTTCTAGTACTCAGCCTACAGCCTTTCTTTTTTGTGTTTCCTGTTGGCCCTTTTACTTGTCAGAGCAAGCAGCTCTGAAATCATCTTGCGCCCAGCACAGATTATCACTGTGAACCTGTTGTGTAGATTGTATGGGCATGTAAAGCCAAATCCTGCTTTTGTATGTTTCATGTATGTTTGATGAGCCTTTTAGGTGGCATGTTTTTCTACAGGAGTGAAATATGTAATCATACTATAGCTACATAGTTTTGTAGCATTTGAAACTTGTTTCTGTCCTCAAGGTATAAATAATGAGGTGACACTTCAGCATCAATACAGGATGGGCATAAGCAGAAAAAGATAACAAAAGATGCAAAGAAATGAAAATAAATCACTTCTTTTTCCTTTCAATTTTAGACTAATGCTAATGTCACTTTACAACGTGAGTATCAACTTGAAAGGCTTGAAGTACATCAGTGAAAGTCCAGGTTTTATCCCTTTGCTTTGGTGGCTCTTGAATGGTAAGTTGCTCTAAGAACCTTGTAAATTTGGCTTCGGGGATTGTAGATTGTGGGAATATGGCAGGTACAAAATAGAAACCTGACTGTGGAAAGCTTTTGTCAGATTAAAAGTTAACGACAAAGACTCACGGGGAGGAGGTGTGCATTTCCCACAACATTTCTGATACTGTATGTAATACTCCATTAATATAAAATTTATGGCCGATATTAAAAATAAAGAATGGTGAGATGTTGTGAAGTGCATCAGAAAAGTCACCTGTATTTTTGTATACCAACTTTAAAACCCGAGTGAAACTAAGATCACTGAAATACAACAAGGGAAGATGTAACTGTGTCCTGAGACATTTGGGAGAAATGTTCTTTCAGAGGCCTCAAATCCCTGTATAAGAGCCAGCTGAGATTGACGTTGCTGGCATGCGTTGGAACTTGGCTGGCAGCTGTGTGCACAGCATGTAAGAGACAGTAAGGGCTGCAATAACTACAGAGCCATGACAATGTCCTGCATGTGAACTGCAACTAGAGTTTGCTCTGTCTTGGGTTTCTGAGGTTATTGTGGCTTGTCCATGAGAATATTTTTGGTGCTCATTTATTAGTATCAGGGAGGTAAGTCATCTTGGCACTCTGCATTGCTGTGCAAAACCCTGCTGTAACATGAGAAGTAAATACAAAAGGTAGCTGAAGTGACAGAGGTTGCATCTTCTTTTTCAAAGAACTAAATTCATGTTGAAGTTTTTGAAAAGCTTTGACTTGGGCTTGTAAACTGGAAGTTGTTTGTTTTTTCCACAGTTCTCTCAAGTATTTTAAGGTAGCCGTGCTTTTCACTAAGGAACTTACAGCTTTGCACTGCCATAGACTCTTCTGCAATCTCAGAAAATGAAGTAATCCTTGTAACGCTGTTGAAAAACACCTGTCTGTTTTTACAGCTTTTTAATGTCAGTTGAGAAAAATTATGTTCTCAGAGAGTACCCTGTGTATATCGTCCTTCGTTCTGCTGTATGTAGAAGTTGAACATATGCTAGTTCAGATTTTCCTTTACTCTGTGTTTGGCTAATACACGAGCTTTGCTCTAGTAAAACAAACAAGCAAGCAAAAAACAACAAACCAAAATTTCAAAAATCTGGTCTAAATGTGAGTTCCCAAGTGTGCCCTTCTAAATTTTGTGATAAGATAAAGAAGCTGATCTTGTTTGATGCAGTCTTTTGTTTGAAGGAGGCTCCCAGGTCGTGCAAGAGAATAAAATAGGGCACAATTAGAAATAATTTACTGCTGTTAGTGGCAGTAAGAAATTTGAAAGGCTACTTTACATTTTGATACTGTTAATTGTGTGTGGATGGGTTGTGGAAGGAAAAGATGGGCATGGCTAATTCCTTTATGTGTTGATAATAAGTTTCTCCCCATACAGCAAAGGAGGAAGATGCTCAGATAACCCGCATCTGCTAGTTCACATTTTTTACTTGAGAGGAAGTCTGCTTACTGTCAAGGGAGATGGCTGACTAGTTTGTATATCGGATGAGAGGTTGGACCCAAGATGCAGTCTTGTTCTGGTCATTTTCTATGAGATCGCTGTCATTTTCTCTACATTTAATCAACCTCTGAACTTCTCCAGAATTCAGTAGCTTTCTCACGCACTTGCTTCTCTACTGTTTCTGCAGCCAGGATCTTCACCTTCTGCTGGCCCCGATTAGATTATAAACATCTGCAGTTGCCACACTATAAAGACTTACATTTTTTTTCCATGCAAGAGAACTGAGCAATACGGTTTGCTGTCAGTGTCCCGTATACGCTGCCGTCCTACAGGAAGCTTCTTCAAAGACTGTTTTGGCTAAGGCTTGAGAGATGATTCAGCTTTCCGCAGTTCTCTAGGCCTTCATCTGCGCTTTCACTAAGAGTCTTCTGAAAGCATCCTCTGACTTTTTTTTAATTTTCAGCGAATCATCTTGTTTGCTGTCACCAATCTACAAGTGTCCATGATCTCAGACTATACATCCAGGCCAATTGCTTGTATACAACAGATAAATCCCTCAAGTTCTTTCTCAGAATTTTCAGTCACTTCCCAATCTTCTTGTCCCCCAGGGAAGAATGTCCTTCTCATTTTTCCCCTGTACTCAGCACTGGTGAGGCCGCACCTCGAGTACTGCGTCCAGTTTTGGGCCCCTCACTGCAAGAAAGATATTGAGGCCCTGGAACGTGTTCAAAGGAGGGCAACAAAGCTGGTGAGGGGTCTGGAACACAGGCCATATGAGGAGAGGCTGAAGGAGCTGGGAATGTTCAGCCTGGAGAAGAGGAGGCTCAGGGGAGACCTCATTGCTCTCTATAACTTCCTGAAGGGAGTTGTAGTGAGCTGGGGGTCGGCCTGTTCTCTCGTGTCGTTAGTGATAGGACCAGGGGGAATGGCTTCAAGCTACGGCAGGGGAGATTCAGGCTGGACATGAGGAAGTATTGCTTTTCAGAAAGGGTGGTCAGGCACTGGAATGGACTGCCCAGGGAGGTGGTGGAGTCACCGAGCCTGGGGGTGTTCAAGGAAAGGCTGGATGTTGTGTTGAGGGACATGGTTTAGTGGGAGCTATTGGGAATAGGTGAACGGTTGGACTGGGTGATCTTTTAGGTCTTTTCCAACCTTGGTGATTCTATGATTCTATGATTCTAAGTAAAGTAGAGAGGAAACACACGATATCTTGATTTTCTTTATTCTCCCTTGTTACATCTAAAGCAAAGAGTGGTTTGATTCAGATTGTCTGCCTGATTGACTTTTTCAAAATATGCCTTGACATTGAACACATGGATGATAAGAGAAAGGAGGCAAACCTGGTAATGATTCCTAGTGGAGAAAGAATGTTAACAACAAAGGGATTTTGTCTGTTCTACTGTCTTTAGAAAATTTGGATGAGCCAGAATGTCTTCACATGCACTAAAAGGAATTCTTAATAGCTCCTTCTGCTGGAGGCTATACTGAAACAGGCAAAAAACAAATGCTTGACACACTTTCTGAAGGTAATGCAGAACTGTGCTTAGCACTGTATGACATAGACTTCTTTTCCTCTTTTTCCCCCCTTATTAAGTACTGCCTGAAAGGTGAGGCATCCTTTAATAAGCAAGAGTGATCACTGAAGAAAATAGTCCCATAGCTATGCAGCTGTTGTATTCTTGCATTGCTATCACCTATTCCTACCTGTATCTTCCCAGCCTGGTGGGAGCATGAAATATGTGGATGATGACTCAGATTTCTGTCTGTGAAGCAGCTTGTGGAATTAGTAGGTTTCTCTTCTTGTGGAGCACCATTTGTGTGTAGAGCAGCTGTTGCTGTCTTGGAGGATATAGGCAGCTTTAGTTTTCTCCGTCTCCATCTGCTGTCCCTGTGTTGATATCTTGGGTAAAGGTTTTATGTAACTTTCAGATTTCAGGAAGCTCTGTCCTCAGCAGTAGAAAAAGAAGTTATATAACTTTAGATGGAAATCCTCTTGAGATTTGTCGGTATTTTTTTGCTGGTGCTTTACTTCTGCAGATGCATTAAGACTTTCAATCTGCCATTTTCAAAGAGGTAGACTGAGACTTTTCCCTGCAAAGGATCTTTTGAAGAAGTTGGAGTTAGCTCCAGTGTTACTGGTAAAGACTAAGTTTTGTTTTTCATTTTTAATCGTACAGAGCATGTACAAACAAGTGAGGGCTGGAGAAAATTGGGCTCTTCACTTTTTTTTTTTGTTTGTTTTTAACTCATGCATCCATTTTGTTTTTCCTTTTTTTTCTTTTTTCTTTTTTTCCATGTATTGCAGTTCTTGTTCTTGTTGGACGTATTAGAGAGGTGGAATTCAGAGAGACTGTGTCAATGACATTTCCCATCCTTGCTGGGAAATTGCTCCAGGTACTTCATTAAACAAAAGACAAGAGACATATGACTAATCTTAGATCTCTCCCTTCAGCTTCCTCCACCACAATTCCATACGGAAATCTAACCTTGTTTATCCAAATTCTTTGCAAATGACCGTCTCTGTTATAAATGTCTATATGAAGCACATTCTCATTTTGCTGCCTGCAACCTTCAGTATTTGCTCTTCATGACTAATCCTGACAGCTTCTTTCTTTTCGTTTTGGATTGGTTATAGCTGTCAGAATTTTGGAAATTCAGGTTAAATGCATGGCAGCGTGCTATTTAAAAGACATCTGGACAAACAGAGCTCTGCTATTTATGAATCAGTGTCTGTATTAAAACAAATTTTGGTTGGTAAATAGAAACCTCAGTTACCAGTTTTTCTGGTACTCTCTCAGCAGTTTCATATTCTTCTTGCTGTCTTAAGAAGAGGATTACCCTACTTGTCCTTAAAGAACGCATCTATTTTCTTAAATGGAAAGATGTCAGCTCTGACACAAAAAGTCCCTGAACCACTGCTGACTGAAAAGCTCGAAAGTGGCTAGAGGAGGTCTACTGAATACTTGCCCTTTTCCCCTGCTCTTCTCTAAGAAGCAGATTCTGTTTTTCTAAATAGAGCTCTTGGTGAGCCCTGAGAGGCTGTCATTACCATCTGAGGAGGATTTTCTTGACCAGATCCTCCTCCTTAACATCAGAGCCGTGCAAACTGATGTTCTCCATCCTGACAGTGGTTTTCCTTTTGTGAATATATGTAAGGAACCTTAACTCTGGTGAATGCATCTGTCACTGTAAAGCACTAGTTTGGTCTCCTGTTGATCAGTAGCTATTTTGGGAGTCCTCAGAGGCCCAAATTAGGATTGATTGAAGCTGGGGAACGCACCTAACAGGTCACTTAGGAGTCTGTCTGCTGCAGGACCGCATCTGTGTGAGTTCCTTTTCACTTTCAGCCCTATATGTAGCAGTCAGGCAAATTGGGTCTGCATTGGCTGCTATGGTCTCCTTCCTTGAGTCTCCCTAAGGATTTCCCTGGTAAAAGTATGACAAGCATGTATCTGCAGGGGAGTGGGGATTTCTGCTAAGCTGAAGTCTGTGTATGGCCGTGAAAGCAGTTGCTTGGCCAGGGAACAGACTGAAGCAAATCCAGCTGCTCTGCAGGAGCTGGAGAGGATGTTTTGCAGAGCAAAAATGCATTTGCATCCATAGGAATTGCAAAAGCAAAGCTGTTCTTTTTACTGCCACGATGTTCTCCCTGCTCCTTCCTCGCATAGTGTCTATGTTGCAATACCTCTTGGCTCTTGGACCAATCAGCATTATGAAAGTGTCCAGAAAACTCTGCATGTTGCAGATATTGGCTCAGCTCCACCAGCATTAGCGCTGTGGAAAGATCTTACATGGAACTAGCTGTGGCCCTATCTCTCTCTATTAGACCCGCTGTGAACGTAGTCCGTTTGACAGGTTCATAAAAAGGAATGGGAGAGGTTGTCCCTTTGTGCTAGAATCAGACAGTGATTGAATTGAATTACATTAGCAGCAGTAATGGGAAGCTTTTGAAATATTGCTCTCGTACATAGGCATAGCTGTAAACTGCTTGCTGGTAATAAATCTTACACTCAGGTGGCCAGGGAATGGTACGGGCACGTGTAAATGGAGCTCATGCAGCTCAGAGCCAATTGTAGATAAGCTGTTTAGCATTGATGTAATGCAATTACTTAAATCCCGCTGTAGGGAACAGTTCATCTGAGAGCATGGTGCTAATGACAGATGTGACTAAAGTCTGTCCACGTTATCAGTTGCTTTTGTCAGTGACTGAAAGCCAGTGACATCAAACAGTGGTGCTGGCAGCTCGCAGAACGTCAGCAAACTCCAGCAGCTTCAATACCTTGTTAAAATTGCATCAGCGCTTTGTGATGGCGGTAGGCTCACGCTCCGCGTGTGATCCCCGACTGAGGCAAGCAGCTTGATTTCTTACCCTATTGCCCAGAAATAATGACTGTAGTTTTGAAGTTTTAGTGCAGGAGATGTGTGTGCTGGTTGTTGGGAGGATATGATGCAGTGATTTGATTGCAGTGGAGGCTTTTTTTTTCTTTTTTTTTTTTTTTTTTGATCTTGTACAAACAAGATGTTACTCAGCTAGTGTACAAATGACTAAATCTGGAAGCTATTGAAGTACACAGTGCTGAATAATGAAGATTCCTCACATTTCTTGTAACTATTCTCTAGATGGGGGTTTTAGAAAAAACCTCCAAAGATGTTGAAGAGGGAAGGGTAAGATTTCTAGGGTTATTTTTAAAAATCCTCTTAGAAAACATGAGTATCTGTAGTAAGTACTATTTTCAAAATCATATGTAATTTTAAGGAAGTATATTCTGAGGCATATGTATTTGTTTAATTCAAGGCAACTCACAACACATGCACAACAATGGAAACTGGAGGTTAGATGCATATTATGTCATCTTCTGGTGCAGAATCATTTCCTTCCTTGTTAGAGTGAGTCAAGCTGTTGGGCTTCTCTGGCTGCTGTTGAAGATTCTTCCTAGAACCTCCTCACTTATTGGAAAATGTTGTTGCTAGTCAAGCTGGAGTCCGTTTCCTGATCTCCTATAGGTCCTGACTTTGTTACCCCCCCGGCTATCACTTGGTTCTTAATCAATTCTTTACTTTGTTCAGCTTTTAAACTCTTGCAGATAATAGTAAAGTAAATGCATGTAACAGCACTAATAATGAAGCACTATTTATCCAGATCTTACATACATGGAGCTTCCCAGCAGCATAGCAAATCACTGCAAGTATTAATGTCTTTATTACAAGGAGGGATAATCTCACACAGAGGAAGGCTGTAATGAGCTACATAGATTTCACTCCCAAAAGCTTCTTTCAGTCTATTTGGGTGTGTTTTATTGCTGCTATTTCCAGTGAAGAAATGCAGAATAATTCTAAGTACAAATAAAGGGGGCAATAAATACATAAATAAACACATAAAAATTAAAAATAAAAAAAAAAAGACTGGTAGGCATGAAGATAGAAAGGGATTCCATGGGCCCTCAGTCCAGAAACCAGCAATAGGAGCTGTTCTATGAGAATGGCCACTTCTGTGGTGGTGCAGCACTGATCATAACTGTTGTTTTTTTTTTTAAATACTTACTCAAATGACTTAAGTTATCCAGTGTGCCCAGTGACTAAGGATAGTCTTACACAAAATAGCAGAAAATGCATTTTGTTGTTTGGTTTGGGGCAGTTGCATTTCCCAGGAGAAAGTAGAATTCTTTTCTCACGAGGTTTGCACTTTAAATAGTGAAGGAAATGTGGTAGAAAATATATACAGATCTCATTTATTGAAAGAAAATGGGGGGAAAAAAGAGAGACTGGCTGTCTTGTGGGGATAGATCAGATGTCACAATTTTTAATATTGTTCTTCGGCGATGTGACAGTGGGAATTGCTTAAAAATTCCCATCTGAACAGACAGTTTCATGCTTAAAGCCATAGTCATTTTCACTGTCCACCTTATTCCATTTTCTCCCTTGGATGCTTTTACATTTCCCCTTACGCTTTAATGGGTAATTCTCCTCACCCCTTTTCCAGGTTGTAGGTGTCACTATTAAATAAGCCAACAAATAAAAGAATTTGCCTCAGCCCGCTAAACATTTTTCCTTAGAACTCAACACAACATGATTTGTTGCTGCACCACATTTATGCTCCTCCAGTGAGAATTTGGTCTCTGTGGTCATTTCAGGTACTTATTTCTCCCCACATTCCAGCACATGGCTTTATTGAAGGCTGGCTGAAGATTGTGCATACTAACAATGAACACATAAATGATGTATGGCAATTGAAACAAATAACTTCTTCAGCCTAAAACTGTATTATACATTTTCATTTGGAATATGCAGAATAGAGAATTGCAAAAATTGTGCTTTCTATGAGATGCTTTTGCTAAAATTATAAGCAACTGAAGGCAAACGGACTGTTGTGAACAATGAAAAGATAATGCTCCTAATGTTTGAGTAATTAAAATTGCATCTTGTTTTCCTAACAGTAGAGTTGTTATGTCTTCTTAGCTTAAGCCACTCAAAGGTCTTCCTTGGTAAATTTCTCTGATGCAGCAATGCTGATCTTCAGTACCCATTTCGCTTTCATGTAGACTGATTTAAACTGAAAGGTTGATATGTCGTTGCCAAGAAAGTTTTGTAAAGATAAATGTTGTATTGAGCTTTGAAGGAATCTGAAGGCTTATGTAAAAAATTAAAGGAAAGCATTGTGTTTTACTGCTGATTTGATTAGTTGGTCTGTTTGTTTCTTAAGTAAGTCTAATTAGTCATGGGGTAGAGCTTGTTGTGCTCTTAAATTGTATTGCATCCAACAGTATATCTTGGTTACTGACTGAGTAAATTTAAGCTGATAAATTCCTTTATTTGTAGCCTTTTCAACATCTGAAAGATAAGAGAGAGGTTTCTGGCTGTCTGTTCCTCCCAAACACAACTGAATAAATGCTGCTGAAGAGGGCAAAGTTGTTGTTTCAGGTTCCTTCTGGAGCCAACAAGCCAGCACCAAATGGCATCTGCAGATTATGACACTGTGGTTATTCCCAGCCTGTGTGTTGAGCCGTGAGAAATGGCTGCATACTATTTTTTTGGGGAGGCTCACTTCTAATAAGCACTGGATTCTTTCCTCTTCCACTTCTAGACCCGGATACTGAAGTTTGTCTTCACGTTCTGCGGCTCCTTCAGTCTGTGATTCTGGAGCCAGAAGTATTAGCCAAGTCAGCCTGTGAGATGCGTGATACTTTGCCATTTCAACGTATCATTACACTGTCAAAGAGCCGCAATGCGGAACTGCAAGCACTTGCAAAAGAGCTACTTGAAGATCTTAAAATACTTGAGTATGAAGCATAGAAGAGCTCTGTGACACCGACTGCTTATGTCTTTCCTGTATTTCTGTGCTGCGGGAGTTATTGGTAATTGTCTTGACAGAAAAATTCCCTGCATAAGTTTCTCTGACAAAATTTCTTTATGAAATTAGGCAATCCAGGTACAATAATGCCGAGGAAAATATGTTGGGTTGTAAATGTCCAAGTAGGCAATCTGGTAGAGATGGGAAAGGCTTCATTTCTAGGAGCAGAGTTTCGTTGATGATGGATTTCCAAAGTGCTACAGGTTATGTTGTCTGTTTATCACATGCAGGGAGTAGAATGGTCATCTCATCCGTTGATGACGAGTTGTTTATTGGAGTAGTAAGTAATCATTTAGGTCCATCCTTAAGAACTATTATACTGGAAGAGAACCTTGTTGCTTCTCATAATTCTGTGTCAGAATGCATCCCAAGTTCTAGTTTTATTGATCTCATTGCTCCTCTCTTTTTGCATTTTAATAAAATAAATTTCAAATTCTTTAACATGTGATGGATTCTGTTTTCGAAATTTGCATTCAGACTCACTGGAACTGCAAGTCAATCCATTTTATGGCTGCCAAGCACACTAGAAATCGAGCCATTGTTTTTTTCAAAAGCCCTGGAAAAAGGATATTAATTACTGTTGTTTGTGGTACCCAGTGTGCAGAAGATGCTAGAATTAACAGCTTCTCTGTCATGAGCAGCATTGCATTCCCTCAAAACTGTGCTGCTGGAGCTGCTTTGTATAACTTGCTTACCTCAGTGCTACATACAGACATCTGTGTGCTTTGTACTGGTAGAAGTTAGACGTGTATTTTAGAGAAAAATGTTGTCCATTTCTTTGATGATAGAAACACAGCCAGTTAGGTGATGCTATTTGAAGGAGTAGCAAATGAGAAATGCAATGCTGCGGTATCAAAATACTAAAGTTATGGCACATCAACTGTGTAACTAGCAAAATACAGAGTGGACATCTTTTAATCCAACTGTAAAGAAAACATATAGGATTTAAATATTGTCTAAGTATAGGTGTGAAAGCATTTCCAATAGACTTTTTTGCAGAATGATGAATATTCACAGTTGGAAATGTCATATACCAGCTGGCAAATTGGAAGTAATTGGCTCAAGCATTACAAAGAGTAGCTGTCTGATTTGGGACTGTTTCACATGAAGATACAGGTCTCACACAGAAGGGTTGCACGGGGTTCTGCAGTGTCTGATTCAAGAGTACATTGAACTTGCCAGGTGCCAATTTTTGGAAGACTTTAAATCTTTTTTAAAGTGTGCTTTCTTTGGATTTGTTTTCTTATCTTGCTATCCTGGAGTTTAATCTTAAAAGGATCAGAGTGATAACCTGTAATTTCCCAGAATATCAACTCATGAAAGTGTTTGGTTTTAAGAAACACTATGGGGCGTCCACTTTTAATTTAATGGATATCTGCTCATGAAAGTCTTTCATCAAACTTTTGGAAGCCAATAAATAGCATTAAAAAGAAGAAAACTAGGTTTAGTTCAGCGAGCAGAACTGGTGAAGCCTCACGTCCTGTAGACTTGAGACTTTCCTTGAACACCTTTCTGTCCCTTCCAGCCCTTCCATTATGAAACCACATCCACCCAATTGACTGCATGGACTGTGCTAGGTGAGGGTGACGTGGATACTCACGGTCAGGTTGGTAACCTGTGGCAATGGGCTGTCAGGCTGCTGCCAAGGTGGGTGCACCCCAGTCTGCCAGCTTTGCCTTTAGAAGGTTTTTATAGAGATCTCTATTGCTGTTTACCCTAACTCTTCATGGAGCTCAAGGGAGCTTCTTTGAGAAGTCATCTCTTCAGCCAGATTTGCTGGGAACTGACCAACAGATTCAAATGATACAAGAGCGACTGGCAATGCAATTGCACCTCATTTCCCTATGAAATCAGGAAAACAAAACAGTCAGGACTTTTCATTAGTTGTATGTCCACTGAAAACCTCAATTGTGCTCAGCACTTAATAGCCAAGTTAAAATAGATGATTCCCAGCAGGCTGCTCAGATCTGATGATAAGTTTTTAATTGTCTCTCAGATGGTTTATTTTTCAGGCACAGCTCACCAGGACCGCTTCTTCAGAATCAAGCAATCAGTGATCCAGCCAGCTTAAGATCTTTTTTTTTTCTGTCCTGAGGGTTTTATTATGCAAAATGGATGAAAAAGAGAGACTCACTCCATCTGTGAAACGTTTCCATGTTGAACATGGAGCACAGTATGACTGGTGTGGTCCAAGACCAGTTAACATAAACATTGTAAATCTCAGGTTCTATTTTGCTGAAAAGTTTCAACCTGAAACTGAGAAACTAGGAAGTTTTACTGGTTTAGAACCAGAGTTCAATGCATGGTTTGGAAATGCTGGGTTTAGAATGTTGCTTTTTCTGCATCCAACTGAAAATAAACCAGATGTGATTATTCTGAATAATAACTAATCAGCTGATCACCAGCTTGCAGGAGAAAAGGCAGTTCAGACTGCCAAAGCAGCAGTTTCTGTAGCCCTGTTCAAAGTCTGGAGTTATTCCATTGAGCTTTTCCTCCATTGCACAATCTCAGAGTTTCAGTGAAGAAGAAAATACAAGTTTGGTGTTGGATTGAGATTATCCGAGTTACTCTAGATTTACAAGTGATTTATAGATTTACAGCTGAAAGTAGAATTTGACTCTTACGCTCAGCTGTCCCAAAAGATTAAAAATCTGTTTTAAAAGTCTTTAAAAGAAAACGCCTGTTTACTTCACGATATCAGCTGCACAATTAAAATTGAACTTTACTCCTTTGAGTTTTATATACTGCGTACAAAGCTGCTGAAATTGCGTCAGTTCACTGACACTCCTGGGAAATGCTCACTTTTCTTATTTGATGCTGATGATTGATGGAAAGCAGAAAGAAATGAGGATCCCCTAAACATATTGCCTGCAAGTTAAGAAATTCAGCTATACAACATCCTGCCCCACTGTTTGTTTGTGCAGGTTTTTAGGTAGTTTTTAAAAGGAGCTGGAAAACCTCAGTAGAGAAGAAAGTAAGAACCAGTCCGAAGGCAGAGCTCTGACTTTCCTGGAATCTCTGTGCCCTGTGCTGAATGGCAGATGAGACAGCATGATTGTCCTTACATCTCTCAAGGGGGGACTGCGATCTTGTATGAGAATGGCAGCCAGCTGCCCGGTTCCTAAGGGAAACAGATGTGTGGTTGCATGCTGACACTGACCTCTCACAGGAGTTTATGCCAAAGGTGGTGGATTAGGGTTCACAACACATCATCTTGTTATGATTGTTTAAGAGTGGAAGTAGGCAGTAGGACGAATTGTAGAGGGTGGTGATCTGTTCGTGTGGCCACGAGTGAACTTTCAGATGATTAAATTTCATTTTATTGTGCCAATCATTTAGCTGCTCCTTTGGGTTAACATTTGCACTTGTGATATGCCCTGATTAGCACAAATTGGACTTCAGAATTGATAAGATTTTACAAATCTTGCAAATGCTGTATGAATCATCTCTTCTACTGCTTTCAGTCTGGAATGATTCTGGAGGTGAGGAGAAAGGAGTCTTACCAGGGAGTAAGAAACCTCCATTTCCTCTGTATTTGCATGCTACCAGCTACAGACTGTGCTCCTTCCATACACGGCATCAAATGTGCAGCTGCATCATGCCATCTGTACCTTGTCCCATAGGCAATTTTCCTGATACGTATGCAAGACCTTTTGCAACTGCTGATTTCTTATGCATATGAGTTACAAGATACCACTGATAAAAGTCATCAGAAAACTCTTGAGGTCATACAGGTTTTAACTTCTCCAGTGCTTTTATGATGACCTTTACAATGTATAACTTGCTAGGTCAGAAACTTCAAAAAGACCTTGACCATATTATAGTTCCACATGTAATTTATAGGACTATAATTTTGTACTGTGGGTGTGACTGTGGTTACAGCATTTCTGACGCCAGGTGCTCAATCTCTTTGAATGTGTGTGTTTTTCATTTTCTGTGCTGTTTGGCTGCAGTCATAAGAGGCAGCAGTCGCTGAGAAAAGGAGAGGTGAGGGCCTCTAAAAGGGCTGGAGAAGGCAGGATGTAACACAACCAGCCAGTTCCAGATGAACAATGGAGGTCAGGTCCTACTGAGCTCCTTGAGTGGCTATCGTGCCACTTAGGTCTTGATTTGAGCTAAGGCAGAGAAAAGGGTTGGATGTTGAAAAAGCAGGTGAGCGTTTTGAAGCTTTCTGCAGAGAGAGGAAAGCTCGCTTTTATTCTGTAGTTGTGTCACCAATGGTGCCAAAGAGTAAGAGTCACCTTTTATTACCATAAAGCAAAACTGAGTGCAGGAAAAAAGCCCAGCACCTGACTGCACCCTTTTATCCTGCGCAGGGTATGTCAATGGAATCAGTTTTACAGGATCACAGAATAGTTAAGGTTGGCAGGGGTCTCTCTGGAGGCTCCCTGGGCCAAGCCCCGCTCCAGGAGGGACACCCAGAGCATGGTCACCAGGATTGTGTTCAGGCAGTTTTTGAAAATCTCCAAGGAGGGAAATATTCACTTTATCTTAGCTATAGCATGTTTGAAATCTGTTCATCTCAGTCAACTCCAGGGGATTTGTTGCTGTTGTTCCTGGCATTTTTCCAGCTCCCCTGGAGCCCTTTGGGGCCTTTAGTGCAGCACAAGGATAGGTCTTCAAGAGAACTACTTCTGTTTGCTCAGCCTGTGGGTTTTCAGGAACTGCTGGAATGAGGAGGGGGGTGGTAACTGTTCAAAGACCAAGGATAGTCATCTTTGAGTCACATTCTATAGAATCATAGAACCGTTTTGAGTTAGAAGGGACATATAAAGGCCAACTGGTCCAAAACCCCTGCAATGAATAGGGACACCTACAGCTACATCAGGTTGCTCAGAGCCCCATCCAGCCTGACCTTGGATATCTCCAGAGACAGGGCACCTCTCTGGGCAACCTATGCCAGTGCCTCACCACCCTTACTGTAAAAAACTTCCTTTATATCCAAACTAAATCTCCTCTCTTTTAGTTCAAAACCATTTCCCCTTGTCCTGTCACAGTAGACCCTGCTAAAGAGTCTGTCTCTTTCCTTCTTACAGCCCCTATTTAGATACTAAGAGATCACTGTGATGGGAGTTCAGGACAAGGAGGAATGGTTTTAAGTTGAGGGAGGGAAGATTTAGGTTGGATGTCAGGGGGAAATTCTTTACTGTGAGAGTAGTGAGGTGCTGGCACAGGCTGCCCAGAGAGGTTGTGGATGCCCCTTCCCCAGAAGTGTTCAAGGCCAGGTTGGATGGGGCCCTGGGCAGCCTGGTCTAGTATTAAATGGGCAGGTTGGTGGCCCTGCATGTGGCAGGGGGGTTGGAGAGTCATGATCCTTGAGGTCCCTTCCAACCCGGACCATCCTGTGAGTCTGGATGCTGCAGGTTCTGATCAGACATGTGCCAGAACATTTAATTAGAAGTGGAATATCTATGAGATGAAACTACAGTTGTGTCAATAGA